AAACATTTTTAATATTGGTGACACTGCTGGAACTTTCAATGAGACTGCCTTATGGCCTGTGGGAATAAAGACATTGGGGGATGGTTTTTATGGTTCTTTCTTTCTTTTTTTTTTTTTTTTTTTTTTAACTTTTGTTTTAAATAAACCGATTGTCATGGTCCGCAGTCTCCTTGGTTGTTTGTGTTTATTAATATTCATTGTGTCAGTTAGTTTCCTGGTTAATTATTTCCAGTGTTTAAGTGTTCTCTGTACCTCCCTTGTCTTCAGTGTATCGTGCCTGTCTGCCAATTCCTCGTTTCCTTTTGTGTGTGTATATTTCGTGTGTTCTTTGTCGGATCGTCTGTATTCTCTCCTGTGTTATCATCTGTGTTCCCTCCCTGATGTTTTCATGTCTTATGTTCCTTGTTCAAGGTTTTTGCAACATTTTCCATGTTTCCCGTGTTCTTTAGTTTAGCTTTCTCAGTTCAGGTTTTTGAGGATTTTTCAAGGCTTTTAAACTACAGTTAAGCTGCCAAATAGCAATGAGCATTAAATGAATATCCATTTATTAAACTCAGCTTGAAAACATGCATATTTTAGAGTAAATTATAAAATGCAGTATATTTCTGGCATTAGAATTATTTAGAAATTATCAGTGTTCCTTGTATTTAATTTCCTTATCCACAACTAGTCAATTAATCAACTAATCTCAATTGCAGTTCTAGGAGGGAACCCTCATCAGCAGTGAACAGAAATCTGAGTAACATGTGGGCATACAGGACCGATTCAGTGGTGGAAAGCCAGCCAACAATGATATGATATGAGATTTCATTCCATATTACAGTTTCACACACAAAGATATGACATGTGCGGCCATGAAATATTACCTGGGTGATGTAATTGGACTACACGTGAGCTCAACATATGTTTTATAAAAGGTACACTGCTTTACATGCATGAACTGTATTTTCAGGTTATTGTTTTGGACAGTTTTGTGACAATTTTTAAAATGAAGTTGTTGTTTTTCTATAAATTCTGACAGTTGAATGCGATTTTAGCATTGCCATCAGATATACTGATGCTGATCTATTATTCTGTTTGACATGGCCTAAAGTGAATGAGTTGTGCTGTTTCTGTTTTTTCATGTTTACCATATGCTTTTAGTTCCTGCCTTTGTTCATATACTGCATATTGTGTCAAACTTGACAGCAATTGTATTAAACTTTAGTGTCAATAAATACTTTTCTTGAACTGAGCTGTTTACGCTGAGGTGTTTGACAAGGTTAATGATGTTGCCACAACCATACATGCCAACCCTCCTGATTCTTCCGGGAGAATCCCGAATTTCAGCGTCCCTCCCGAAAATCTCCCAGAGCCACCATTTTCCCGAATTTCTCCCGATTTTCCACCCGGACAACAAAATTGAAGAACCATATCGCAGAATTCATAGCGCGGCCCAGCCAATTCCAGTCTCCAAATATGGCGGCAGCGACTTAGTTTTTTTTTTTTTTTTTTTTTTACAGTTGCCATCTT